TAATCATTATTCTTATCTGACGTAAACGAGAGATGACTCATCGTGCCATCGAAGGAGATGTTCCTGAACATGTTCGTGAACTCTCCCGGCTTCGTCTCTCCTCTCCTCTTCCTCTCCTCGCCCTGCTTCAGGATATCCCTCAGCACCTGGCCGAACAGCAGCACGCCTTCAAAGTACCCCATCACAAAGTCATTGTGGAGCTGGACGCGACAGAGAGAGGTGAGAGGAGAGAGAGGAGAGAGGAGAGGACACAGGGGAGAGAGATTGAGAGAGAGAGAGGAGAAGACAGAGATGGAGACAGGACAGAGGTCAACGGGAGAGAGAGAGAGAAGATGTGGTGTGAAAGAGAGGGAGAAGGGAGGGAGAGAGGGAGATCATTATCATCATTATCATCGCCATGACTGTTGTTTAATTCTATTTGCCCTGGGTGAGAGTAGATATTATATAGATAATGTTCCATCATGAGGTTCCCAGCCCACTGTAGAAGAGCTGACAAACACACACTCACACCAGGGCCAATAAACCTACCAGTAGGTCTCTGAGCTGTGGGGGGGCACCGACGTGAGCATGGGGAGGAACATGCAGACTCCACCCAGACAGCACCCCAGGTCCAGAATTGAACCCAAGGGCCCCGGCGCTGCGAGGGGGCAATGCTGACCCCTGCGATCACACTTTTCTCCACTCAAAACCCCGCTCATAGTCTTGCTCTGTGGTCGCCCAGTGTTGCACCCCAGAATTAGAGTCAGGGGGCGCTCTTACCGTAGTGGCAGGGAGCCCGGCGATGGAGGTGTGGTTGTAGGTGGCGGGCGGCATGGTGAGCACCAGCACGTTCCTCATGGTGGCATTGGCAGTGGCGTTGGTGAAGTACACATGGCTGCAGGGTAAGAGACACACAGACAAGCCTGCTCACAACCCTGCCTCCTGGGGCCTTGTGATTGGACATGGCACTCATTAATATTCAGACCCATAAGCCACTGCAAGAGACGCTCTTATCTTCCTATCCTGTCTGCTATTCCTTCTAATAATGTATGTAACCATCTGAACAAATTACAGATCGCAGCAGCCACTGTGCCGCTCTGCCTGACCATCTCTCTCGCTGCTGGGATGGGGCGCGCTCTGCAGCGTGCTGGGTGGTGTGTATCACCCCGACCTGCACGGGACCCAGGACGGGCTCTAGGGCGATCCTGGCGCTAGCAGCGGAAAACTAGGGAGACCAGCGACTGACTTGAAGACGTCCACCAGGAGGAAGACGGTGTCCGGATCCACCTTCTGCCCCCCAATCAGCTCCTCCAGTTCCTCGGGGGTCCCGCATAAGATGATCACTGAAGGAAGAAGGAGGAGGAAACGTCAGACGATAACGGGGAAAAAAACGCTCTCAATTTTTTTAATCATTTCCAAGAGGCAGGTGAGCCCAACAGTCGCTCCGTTTTAATACTGGGGTGCAGTGAGGTGGGAATCCCCCCCACACGGGGCTCCACCTTACACACAAGGAGGGTGATTCTAGAGGCTACGCGTCACCTGGACAGCATGTGTAGGGGCTGTAGGGAGAAGTTAAAGCGCCTGAAGAAAAGGACAGTTATGCTGTCCGGCTGAACTGCGGTAAGATTTGCATAGAAACAAACAGGCGATCGAAGGGCGCAGATAATACAACCCTCAAGCCGCAGATAATAAAGCCGTAAACAGCGATGTGACCGAGGACAGGAACGTGAGTGGGGAGACGCTTACAGTTGCTGGTTCTGTTTTTGGCCTGGAGGATGTCGTGCAGGTCCCTCACCGTGCGGACGACCACGCGGTTGATGGTCTGGGAGAAGTGGGCGGA